ACTCTTTTTTCCCTCTGCACTTTCTCACTAAGCCTTTCTATATGTAGCCATTGAGGAAGTGACCCCAAATACCACCTCTCTTTTTGCCTTTGGGTTCAGATGCCCAGAGGGAAAGTGGTGGACATCGGAAGGGGGGGAATCAACTCTCTGTCCTCACCAGCGGCTACGAGCTCTGTCGTGACATGGTATGTACTCACGCTTGTGTTTGTCAGGTTTCTGACTTGGAGTTTTGGAAAGTGACATCCCTGTGGGCAGAATACAAATGCCAATCTTCTCTTTTGCTAAAAAAAAATGTACAGTAAAATGTACAGTTTTAAAAACAACAACGGATCACACTTCTTGGGAGAGAGCAAAAAAAAGAACATTCCTGTGTCTGTGAATGTCTGTTGTTTATTTCTCTGGAAACGCTGTGGTTTTCTGAAGGTGGCTTTGAGGTGGCATCTTCCCTTACACCTGTGTTTGGTACCGCCTAGTGAGAGCCTGCTTCCTGCCAAGTTCACGTATAAGATGGGAGCCTTCTGAAATAAGAGAGAATGGGGCCGGCCTCCTGGAGTAAAGGTCAGTAGAGGGTCTGGAATTACGCTCCAGGCTAAGAAGGAATAGTCCATCCCCGGCTACAACCTGATCCCTCCATCCTGTCGCCTTCCAGCCCTGCCTCCTTTTCCCTGGATGGCCACTACCGCACGTAGCCACTAGGGGAGCCCGAGTACCTTCCACCCACTTTGTGCCCAAGGTGGCATTTTTTCAAAAGGTTCTTTTACCGGGGAACCAGGACAACAAACTAAAGCACAGACCCACGGTAGAGAAACAGATGAGCTTCTGGAACACAGCTTCCTGACCCTATCGTCCTCTAGTGTCTAGGTCAGCACTGTCCAAGAGGAATAAAGTGTGAACCTCACTGTAATTTTAAATTTTCTAGTAGCCCATTAAATCAAGTATAAAGAAACAGGTGAAATTAATTTAACAATATAGTTTATTTAACCCAATATATAAAAATATTTTCATTTCAACGTATAATCACTATAAAATGATTAATAAGATATTTTACTCTTTTTTTTGTGCAAAGTGTTGGGAATCTGATGTGTGTTTCACATGGCACATCTCAGTTCAGGCTAGCTGCCTTTAAAGTGCTTGAGAGCCACATGGGGCTGGTACAGTGCAGCTCTACACATACAACCACTGACTTGCAAGCACAGCTTCTGGAAGGGGAAGGAAGCTAACGGTTCCAGGTCCTGTGTTGCTGCTTCACACTCAATGTCTCGCTGAATCCTCACTGCAGCCTCTCAAGGTAACTATTATTATGCCAGTTTTACAAAGGAAGGGGCTGAGGCTCAGAGGGGTTAAGTAACTTGCCCAAGGTCACACATGGCTGCAAGCCTTAGCTCTTCACATGACATCACACGGCCTCCCCTATCCTTTCTTCCTCCCTTCAACTCATTCGTTACAGACTGTATTTTATACTGACTGAAGTACTCAAATTTACAGCCTGATCTGGAAACCCTGGGTTTGGCCCAAAGGTCTGCTAAAATTCTCAGAGTGTTGACTCCAGGCAAGGGCCCCTTGGTTAAGTGGTTTCTTCTGACCCTGCACTAGCCTTTCTGGCCCTTTTTTTTGGCTTGTAACACATTCCCATCCCAGGAAAATTCCCCTGATCATCCCTTCTCCTGGCCTGGTGACCGCTAGAGGTCCCTTGTTTAATAGCATTCCAACCTCCAGCCTCATCTGGCCCCCTCTGCCCTGAAAACCTGTAACTTTGTACCCTTAAGACAGAAAACCTCACACCAGCTCACTCTAATGCCCAAACCCATCTTCTCGCCTCTTCCTAATTCAAAACTTTTGTCCCTATCAGGAGAGATGCTTGCCTACCCAGATCCTCTTTCCTGACAGAGAGAAGCCTTTAGCTCTCTGATCTCTCACAGAAGAGAGGTAGCTGATACACTCTGAGCCTGGCTGAATTACTGAGTTTCTGGCAAGTGTTCGACCCCCTCTCCCCAAGTTCTTGATAATGACACATCCCTCAGATTCCCCTCAAAGTAGATTTTTTTCATTTTGCCATGATTACAGCATTGAAATTCCAAAATAACTGACTCGCTTTTTTTTTTTTTTTTAAGGGATATCATTTCTAACCAGGTAAGAGGAAGGTCACTGTCTCAGATGTCCCCCTTCCCAAATGGGTAGTAACTTTTCTCCCAGAGTCTGTGGGTATAGACTTTTCATAAGTACAGCCTGAGTACTTCCGTGTCTTCTGTTCTCTGTTCTCAGTGTGTCTGCAGTAAAGGTCTCAGGGCTTCAGCAAACTGAGTGGGGTTTCCTCTGTTCTTGCAGCCATGGGGGTTTGCAAACGGCTGCTGGTAAATTAGACACACTTATTCAAAAAAAAAGACTGTTGGCAGGCAGCAGTCAAAACCTGAACACACAATTTTATACAGCACACCCAGATCCCAAAACCAGCAACGTTCCGTGTGATGCAGTTGGCAGCAGGAAAAGTTCGTTGTGACAAGAAGGCTTCTTCACAGGTAAACACCTGAGGCTTCTATTTTTGTGTAATAGAATCAGACCCATCCAGGTTGCTCTGCAAACATCTCAAAGGAACACTGCCCCCTTCTCCGTTTAAAAATATCTACTTGTGCTTTCAGCCTTTAAACCAAAGATCTTATTTTCTCAGCTTATTTCATTATTTTATTTCAGGTCCCCAAACTCACAGCCACTGAATGTTTACAAAGCTCGCAGGTTTCCCTTCCCTGCAGCCTCTGGCAGAGGGAAATTGATATGCTTCCCAACAGACCAAGGAGGGGAGCTGAGCTTTACCTCTGCAGCTATCCTGTGATCCCCATCCTGGCCATTTAGCATCTTCCCACAGGTGCAACAGCCATGTTCTCATTTGGGATGTTTGGCATCTTTCTTCTGCTCACTGACTCCGGGGAAATGGGCCCAGATTGCAGGCTCTTGTCTGGTTATTTTCCTGTTTTTGTTGGGATAACTGATCTGATCCCTTTAGCCAACAGTCAAATGTAGTCCAAGTGACTCAGAGCCAGCATTCTCTCCACCATCTTGTGCTGGAGTCTCTCTGGGGCTGCAGCAAGGAAGATCTCACTATCCAGCCCCTTTCTGAGATGTCAGTGTCTCCCACAGTTACCCACTTGGTTCCCTACTGATGAGGGGGTGAATCTGGCATTACACCCATCTCCATGGGATCCCCAAGCCCATCTGGTCCACAGCCAGTCAGCCTACTGACCAGCCTCCCACAGCCCTGGGCCCCTCCGTCCGGGCTGCCCATCTGCTTAGGTGATGATTATCATACCCCCTCTTCTTCTGCCACCTCCTCTGTAACATGTGTTCATTGGTGCTCCCTGGCACACCCAGCAAGGACTCCAGCATTTATATGTTTTGCAAGGGTGAGTTTTCTTTCCTTTGAATGGCCAGTGCTATCTCCAGATGTCCCCTGTTCCCCGAACCGTGGTTACCTCTGTCAGCTGACCTTCCTGAGACCATTCCCACTTTCTCATGAGACAAAACCTCAGAGCCCCACACCTGTCCCCTCAGTCACTGACTTGGCATGTCCTGGTAACAAGCAAGTATCTTGCTCACCATTTGAGAAGGAATATTACCGAGAAGAAGAGAATTAAGCCCTCATTTACATCCAGTAATCTTGAAGGTTCCCCTCCTGGGTTCTCTGTCATACTTTTTCCCACACATTCTTTTGGGGAATCTCTCAAGGATATGATTCTGCCTGTCTACGAAGGATGGCCTCGTTGCCTTACCTACCCTGACCAATTATGAGAAAGTTCTTATCCCTTCATTAGGTTGACACAAGGTTGGCATTTTCCGAGTGGATGTTGAACTGCAAAATTAAATTGATAACAGCTGTTCATTGAGTTGCCTATGTGCCATGCACTATTCTAAGAGCTTGCTATAGATCATTTCACTTTATCATCAAAACAATTCAATCAAGTGGGTATCATTATCATCCCCACTGGGGAAGCTAAGGTAGAGAGGGGTTAAATAACTTGCCCAAGGTCACACAGCTAGTGAGTGGCAGAGCTGGGTAAACACTCAATAAATTGATTTACACTGAAGTTACTAACAGAACTGCACAGACCATTAGAAATGCAGAGCTTGCTGGGTTTCAGGTCAAAGGCCTGAGTCCTGGTATATAAACCTTGAATTTGAGAAAACAGTCCAGCAGAGAAAGTGAGAGAGTTGGAGAAATCATTGCTGTATGTTTCCAGCATGCATTTGCTGACCTACTGTGTGCCCTGCACTGTGCCCGGTATCGAGAAAAATCAAAATAAAAGTGAAGGACACTGGGCATGCACTGGAGGGCCTTACACACTTCCGAGGGGCAGGGACATTAGCTGGTTTCTAGATCTCTGGTTTTACAAAGATGGCCTGTTTTCACTCGTTTTAAGATAACCTATAGTTCTGAAGAACCCACTATCCAGGAGGAGACAGATGGGTGGATGGATTGGCCAGAAGCCCACGTGGCGCCTCTGGCTGGAAGAATTCACTAGATTTTAATCTCCAAAGGGACCAGCATGGCGAAGTGACTGGCTTTGGGTCAGACGGGCCCAGCCAGGACTGGAATCCTGTACTGGACAAGCAGGGACAGAAGGAGACAATTCTAGCTGCCCAGGAGCTTCTGAGGTGGGTGGGAGGGGGGATGAGACAACAAAGCAGGCCTGGAAGAGGGCAGGAGGGGAAGTTGCAAAGAACTGGAGGGTCCTGAGTAGCCCAAGGCAGGTGCAGTTGCTCCTGGTGGGGAGGGGCCATCCAGTGGGAGGAGCTGGGTTCAGAGCCTATTTCTTGGCCTGAGTTTCCTTTCCTGTAAAGTATCAATGGTAAGCATCAACTTCAGTAAGTACACCTGAGGAGTTACCATTTAGTTATATAGATAACACATCAGGTTGGAAAAGGCAGAGTGATAAATGTCATTATTATTAATGGTATGCATCATTGAAAACATTATTATAAATTACAGCATATTAGTGATAATAGGTATCTCAAGTTCACCGAATCCCAGGACTCACAGAGCTATTAGAGGTCATCCACTCTAGCCTCCCTCAGTGGGTATTAGAATCCCCTGTTCAATATCCATGAAAACTGTTATTAATCTTACTACAGGCAAGATCGTGCAGGAGGAATTTCAGAATTTACCCAGGCAGGCTGTGGCTCCCTGTACTCCAATCAGATCAGTGCCGGATGGTTATGTTTCCGTATTCCTGGTGGGCCCTTGCAGAACCATTATTCCTGCCTTCACGTGAAATCCAGAGCCCAGAGAGAAAGCAGCTTTCAGAGACTGCTGTGGCCAAACCACAGGTAGGTAGGAAACCAGGTACAGAGCCAGGGCCCTGCCTGGGAACATCTGCGGAGGGGCTGTTCCCCTGCTGAGTCAACGCTGGTCATGACATTGAGAAAAGGAGGGAGGGAGGAAAGGGGCAGAAAGCACATGGTAGCCTCTGCAGCCCGATACTCCTTTGTGTTCTGAGATCCACTGTCCCAGCAGCTAGGAGGACCTGGAAGATTCCAGACCTCTCCCCTGGGTTCCCTCACTCATCGGTTCCCCTATCCCTGCTCACACTTCACCCTTGTCTCACATCTGGCATAGTGACGAAAATCTAACATTCAGGGCTCTGGAATGACACAAATGCTGCCACTAAAAATCTCCCATTGGCTTTTCTTTATTCCTTTGGGTTAAAAGACTTTTTCCCTTCTACAATGTAAATACCCATGGGAAGACTCTGCCAGGTGCCAGGTAAGCCATCCAGGGAGAGGCCAGCTCTGTTCAAGGATGTAGAGTGGGCCAGAGGGTCCCCACTTGAGTCAGGCGGTGAGCACTTTCCGAGGGGTGATGGGATGACCCCAGGCAGCCTCTCCTTAACATCCAGGTCTCCTGTAGCACAAACGACATCCACCTGCCTGAGGAGGGAAGATTAAGATTGGCTCCCAGTTGGGATTTTACTTCTGAAGCAGCACATTAGTCCCAACTTGAATGAAGAAAGAACGTTAGAGAAATATTTCACTCCATCTGGAGGTCAGAGGGGGCTGGCTAGAGTGTGCGTAGCTGGACAGGCCCCTTGGGAGAGCTGATGGTGCACAGGGGCTTCAGGAAGGGCAGCAGGACACGATGCTGGGGATTAGGTGACCCCCACACACCAAGAGCTTGGCTTCCATGTCGAGAGTAAATGGAGACAACTGTGGATCACCCCAGAGGTCTGGGAGGAGGTGGGGAGGTCCTCAACAGCAATCAAGGGACCAAATTCTTGATCTTCACACTTTTAAGCGTTCTGATGAGATTCTACCTTCTGAGGTATCCTGCAAACAGCTGTAGCTTAGTTCAGCCCTGACTTGTTAGGGAAGCAGAGGCTGGGACTTTTCTCTTGAGCTCTAGGGCCTTCCACCTCCCTAAGATTTCTGGAAAGTGCGGCTTTGCGCCAGGCGTGAAAAAGCAAGATCCTCTTGCCTGAACCCCTCCATCTTCGGTTTGGAGTAAAGAACAAGATGGAGTGGGCCCAGGCAAGAGTATCCAATTCCAGGGGTGGTCAACCAAGTTTCCTTCCCTACCTCCAACTTGTCTGCAGAATCGTGAGGGATGAAACATAACTGGAGACATTTAAGATACACAGTCAGCAGCAGAGTTAGACTGTACGGCATCTCACTATTACAAAAAAATTCTTTCACACGGATTATCATTCCTTCCATTCCTTACCTAGAAACTCCAATTTACACATTACTGCTTTCCCCATTTTATAGATTTTCCAAATTGAGGATGAAAGTTGTCCATTTTCCCCCAAGTTCTTATAGAGCTTATAAAGCAGAAGTGGGTCTCAAACTTTGTATCTCTGACCCCACAACTGGAGTTCTCTTCATGCCACACCACTGACACTCAGCCGTTACAGTGCTGGCTGCCACAATAGGTAGGAAGGCAGCCAGAGGTAGGAAAGACAGTAGCCCCACAAGCAGGCCTTGGAGAGGCAGACAAAGGCTATAGGACCCTGGACAGTTGAGAGACAGGGCTGAGAAGGGCAGCTCTGCCAGGGATCCTCTGTGGACATGAGGCTCTCTCAGCCCTCCAGGGCCAGTCCAGCTGGGACAGGGGTTAGACACCATCATCCACTGGGGGCTAAGCAAAAAAGAAGGGGCATGAGACGGGTCCAGGCAAGGACGAGGAGGGCAGGGATGAGGGGCAGGACCAGAAGAGCTGTTGGGAGGACACAGCTGTGCAGGTCCGAGGTGTGGATCCAGCCCATGTGCCGTCCACATCTAGAAAAGGGGGAAGGAGCAGGGGACAGGGCTCGGGCTCCACATGGAGTGTCCTGGAGGGCTCTCTACCTAGTGAAGCCAGGAGGCTAGCAGGGCCCCTCCAGGAGTTGAGGTCATTTTCAGGATTCCAGTGACTGTGCTGTATGCTCTGAGGCTCTAATTCCTCAAAGGAACTAGTCCAGCAAAGACTCTTGACTCCGTGTAGGAAAAGAGAAGCACATTGGAAAATCGTGGCTATGTCTACACCTGCATTTCAAGGTCTAGTGAAGGAAGGAAGGGCTGGCTTCTCCATGAATACTGGAGGCTTCGGGGCACGGCCCCACCATCAACTCCGCTTGTCCCTTCCAGGTCTCCACGAGGGGATGGCTGGAGACTAAATGAGTGGAGAATGATGGAAGGCAGTGAGCCCCAGGCCTTTCAGATTGTTCCAGGTGCATTGACCTGTCACACCCAGTCTCTGGTCGGGGGTGGGGGGGTGTTGTACAGAAGGATGGAAGTCTTTCAGAAAGTTTTATGGTATCTGGGTTGGTCTTGAACCAGCTAAGGGAGGGAGGACTTGGGACTCTATCCTTTTGGCTGTGCTACACCATAAATAGGCAAGCTCTTGACAGAATACAAAGGACTGTCCAAGCAGGAAAGAGGGAACTAATGTTATTTACCAAACAGTGTAGTAAGCACCTCATAAATGGGTTAGATCACCCATTTTCTCACTGAGAAAACAGACACGCAGGCAGGTGTTAATGACTTGCTGCCAGGTCATACAACTAGTTAGGGGGAGGGCTAGCTAATCACTCGAAAACTGGAGTTGCCCCAGAGTAACCTATGGAACAGCAAAGGACATTAGAATTTCAGCAAATTCTCAGCAAATTTCAGCAATGAGAGTTAAGAACAAATGTAACATTGAAAAGCAGAAGATATGGAGAAATGGATTGAGCAAATATCTAGTGACTTCTCTGTGCCTGTCCCAGTGCCTCCTAAGAGTCCTTAAACTTTGTCCTGACAAACTGAGCGTTAAATAATCCCCAAATGCCTGTTTTTTTTTGTTTTCGCTTTCCAAAGTGTGTGGGTTGGAGACAGGGGAGGAGTAATATAGCAACAACAAGGCAAGTGCACTGCATACCCCCTCGCTCAAGGGAGTTGGGTCTTTTTCCCGTTCCGGTATCCCCATCTGTAAAATAGCATAGTATCTCTCTACCTCCAACGATTTTTGTGTTTGTAAATCACAGAGCTCTATACAGTACAAATAACCCATAGGATTCGAGAAATCACCAATTCATGATGAGTAATGACATGGATCAATGATAACACTGTTATAAATGACAGGACATTAGTGATTATTATATGCATATCAGGCCCAGAGTCTTAGGGCTGGAAAGATCAGAGGTCTCCAAATAAGCCCTCCTCCATGCACCAATATCCCTGCCAGGTGGTATCATGATTATAAATGAGTCTATACCTTTAATTCTGAAGTCCACCAAGGAAGAGAATAGATGAAGAACACATGCCCTGTGTGTCAATGAGCTCCAGGTTTGTACAGACTCCACCATTACTGCTCCTTAGAAGGCCCCCAGAGTCATAACAGAAGACAACTCCCAGAATATTCTGTGGTCATCACTGGGGTAGAAGAGAACAGAACCAGGGCCCCAGATGGGGAGTCTTAGGGATGTCTGTTCTCTTGCCACATCAGCTCTGGTCTCCATGGCACACAGGGAAAACAGGTAGGGGAGAGGGGCAGGAGCACCGGGCAACCTCTGAGGCCCCAACAAGCCGATGTTTTGTTTGTGTTCTGGGACTTGCACTCCCAACTGTGGGATCCAGGAAAGTTGCCCACACCTCTCAGGTACACAGCACAGGCCGATGACGCATACCTGCACTCCTCCGTTCCCACTCTAATGAGGACGACAACCCCCTCCATGCCCTCCCACCTGTGATTTGCTCCAATTCTCCCTTTATCCTCAATCAAGGACTAAAAGAACAAAGTTATAAAAATAGTAACTAATCAAATTCCAGGACCTCAGTGTGAATCACTGTCTACCTGCTCCTACAACCTTCCCCGTGACCTGACGTTCTGGTGGATGCATTTGTTCCTTTAGTTCCTGCCCTATTACAACGCAAATGCTCGGCACACTCTGCCAGGTGTCTGTAAACCAGCTGGGGCCAGGTCCCGAGATGAGACAGTGACGCGCTTTATTCAAAAGGGGAGGTGGGAGGGCCAGGGGTGCCCACTTGAACAGCCCTCCCACCTGCCCCTCTTTGCATTTCCCAGCGGCACAAACACCATCCACCTGGCTTGGGTGGGAAGGATAGAAAGGATCCCTCTGAGTCTTCACTTCCAAATCAGCACACTGACCACAAGCCAGTAGTCAAGAAGGACATGAAGCCTTTATTAAACTTTTCCACTCGACCTGTGGTTTGAGAGGCCCTAAAGGGGGGCCTAGCTGACTGACCAGGCCCCTTGAGCCCTACAGGCCTCCTGCATGGAAGGGCAGTTTTGAGGAACAACGTAATGCACAAACGAGGAAGAATATACTTGTGTGAAGAGTCAAGTTTCCATGTTGATGGTAAATGGAAAAGCCTTGGGGTCAGAGCGGAGCTCTTGGACAAAAAGGGAAAAGAAGAGTGAGGAAGGGAAGGGGCCCAGCCCAGCCCTCTCTACTGACGGTCATGGGAACCTTGGCCTCGGAGGGAACCATAACCCTGAAGGCTCGGTTTTTTTCCTACTGCCTGAAATTCACGTCTCCTCCCTGAAGGTAGAGTACTGGATATCTGGAGGGGAAGGGGTGGGAGTGGTGCCGGGAACAAAAGTCAGGGTCCTACTAGCAGCTCCTTTTCCAGATGGCTAATGCCACAGCAAAGGCTGGGAAGGAAGGAGCCTGGGAAGGTCCACTGGAGCGGAGACTCCTGAAGGGTGCTTCCCAGTTCCTAGAAGATGGCGGGGTGGACAAAAGGGCTGCCTCCATGCTCTTTGTTATGGCTTGATTGACCCATCCTGTGGAAGTAAAAAGGCAATCAGAAGAAACTCGGTACCTAGAAAGGCAGCAGCTGGGTGGCGGGCAGTGGGAAGAACAGAGTTAAAATCACAATAAGTAATTTGTAGCACATCCATTTTCAAAAGACATTCACATAAATCACTCCCATTCTCACCAAGACTCTGAATTAGCATTATGATTTTGTCACTTTCCAGGTGAGAGCACATACCCATGAAGGGGTTAGCGTATTTCCCATGATCACCCAGAGCTTAGAGGGACGTCTTTGGACTCGAAACTGAGATCCCTGACCCCCCAGGTCTCCAGTTTGTCCACCCCAACCCTTCACAAATCACAGCAGAAAGGGAGTTGAGAAATGAGACTAAGAAGCCAGGAAAAATACCCTCAGACCCGGAAAGAGAGGCCTGGTAGAAGCCGGCAGAGCGCAGAGCAGGGCACACAGGAATGGGCTGGGAGGTCACTCTGCCAGGCACCTACTTGTCCCCGGAGTCCCAGTGTCTTTCATGGCATTCAGGTGGCTCTCCTCCTTGGGATGGGAGACAGGAATCCTTCCTCCATGAGAGAGGCAATAAGAGGTAAAGGGAGAAAAGAGCAGAGAAACGTTCTAGTGAGGCCAGAGGCCAGGGGGAGGGGGCTTGGGAGGGGCTTCGGGGCCCTGCCAACCACCACCCATCTCCTGGCGGGACAGGAGCACCAGGCCCCAAGGACGGCAGGGCTGTGGCCCCAGGGGACCCTCCGGCCACAACTTCTGCAACCAACCTGGGTTGAGGGAGAGTGTGCCCAGTTCTCCACGTCCTGGGCCTCAAGGGTTTTCCTGCGTCCTTAGAGCAGTTCTGATCTTCCTGGAGGGGGGAATCCCCAAAAGCCTGTTCCTCAACTAAGTCAGCGCCACCTCAGGAAAAATGCGCAGGGCGCTTCCCGAAATTAACTGCTCTCAACTGCTTCTCCTCCAGCCGTTGGCCACGCCCATCAAGCCACCCTCCCACCAAGCCTCCTCCAATCAGAGGCCCCCCTCCCTCTGCCCACCCCTGCGGTGTGTAAGGGGGAAGCGGAGGATGGCCTCGCGCCTTCTAGAACGTTTCAGAGCCTTCGACTGGTCCTACACCAGCAGTCCCAAGGCAGGAGTAGGGGGAGAGGCCGCCTGGACTCCGTGGAGTTTGGGGGCTTCTAGGGAACCTCTGAGTCTTGGATGGGCCAAGCACTGTGAGTAGGAGTTGGGGGTGTGGGAGGGGATGGGAGCCCGCAGACCGTCCAGAATGTAGATAGGCTGCAGTCTGGCCTCTGAGGGCAGTGGCCCTCGCTTTATATTTAGCAGAACAGCAAACCACATTGATAACGTGATGCCTGTGATCCCAGAGTCCTCACTTCCATTTTACCTCAGAGAAAAGCACCATCCAGCTATAGGAGCTATAGGAGAGGTGTGAATAGCTTGAGGCCTCATAAGAGTTAGGGGCTGAGCTGCAATTCAGAGCCCCCTAATGACAACTTCTGACCTTTCCCCACCAACCAAAGGCCTCTCACTATAGAGGAAGCTTTACCCAGTCTCAGCCAGCCCTTGGGGACCCAGACCCTTATAGGACGGTTTACCATTATCCCATGCTTCCTTGTGTCCCTGCCACAGGACCTGGGGGACCCGGGTTCTCACTCAGAGCCTTGGCATCAAGGATCCAGCCAATGGGAGAGGGTTGCTGAGCAGATGAGGTTGCCCCTGACCAATGAGAATAAGAAAACGTCTTAGAGGCCAGTTGGAGGAGGCCCATGTGTGAATATTCACTGGGCACTTATTTTGAAAGACTCAGTCCTGAAAAGTTCAAAATCCATCATTGTATTTGGGCATCCCATATTACTTCTTTAAAAATGGAAATAGGGAGTTCCCTGGTGGTCTAGTGGTTAGGATTTGGAGCTTTCACTGCAGAGGCCGGAGTTCAATCCGTGGTGGGGGAACTGAGATCCCATTAAAAAAAAAAAAAATTGAAATAGAATTCACATAACATAAAGTTTATCACTTCAACCCTTTTTAAAAGTACGATTCAGTGGCTTCAAAACGCTGTGCAGTACCAGGATTCCAGAACATTTTGTCACTCACCATTCCTACAACCCGGGGAGTCCCGTACACGTTAATCAGTTAATCCCCATTCTCCCCTCCCCTTTGCCTCTGGCAGCCACTAATCAGGTTTCTGCTTTGACGACTTGCCTATTCTAGACGGTCTATGTAAATGGAATCACACAGTATATAACCTTTTGTGTCTGGCTTCTTTTAGCCTAATGTTTTCAAGGTTTATCGATGTTGTAGCACGTATCAGTACTTCATTCTTTTGAAGGCTAAATAATATCCCACTGCACAGATATACCATATTTTCTTTATCCGTTCATGTTGATGGCCATTTGGATTGTTTCCACCTTTCGGTTATGAATAATTCTGCTATAAACATTTGTGTACACGCGTTCTTTGTTTGAGCATCTGTTTTCAGTTCTCTCTCGGATATATATCTAGGAGTGGAACTGCTGGGTCATTTGATAAGTCTATAGTTAACTTTTTGAGGAACTGCCAACATGGAATTGATGTACCATTTTGCATTCTTAACCAGCAATATATGAGGGTTCCAGTTTCTCTACACCTTCATCAACACTTTTTACTTTTATTAAAAAAAAATTATAGCCATCTTAGTAGGTGTGAATGTCATCTCACTGTAGCTTTGATTTGCATGTCCCTTGTTCTTTGACCTTTCTGAACTAGTTTTGGAAAGTTTGTATCCTTTGTTATGTGTGGTCATTAAAGTCTGTTCTGTTAGATTAATGCTCAGTTAGTGGTTCAAGAGAAATTTCCTTATGCTCTTAGAACTAAAAGAAAAAATTCCTCCAGTCTTTGCAGATGGACTCTGCGTGAGCATGTGCGTGTGTGTGTGTGTGTTGGGGCATGCATTCCAACACTCAGCCAAGCAGACTACAACTCCCCTTAAGCCTTCACTCCCTGCTCCTACAGAGCCTGACTTCAGCCAGAGGTAAGAACCTAGGGCCTTCTCAGGTCTTTTCTTAGCATATGCTCAGCCCTGAATAGGTGCATGGCCTTCTAGATTCCCAGAAATATGTGACTGCGTTTCAAAATGCTTATTCCCCAAATCATCTCATTTCCCAGCCTTTCCTCCCAAACTTTTAGGTTAGTCTATTGTTTTCCCCAACCATTATTCCCAGTCTCAGGAAGCAAAAGCTAATACATTTGCCTTTAAATGTTTTGAACAAATTTTCCCTGGGTAGCTACTTCAACCCTGGGAATGTTCTGAGTGAGGTGAAGTAAAGCAAGCCATTTGAGAGGGTTCTTCAAGGAGCCACCAGACGGGTCAGAAAAAAAACTACATTTGTTTGAGAATAAAGTCTGTTCTGCTCCCTCTGGTTCCAGGTACATACTAGGAATGCCAGCTGTTGTCTTCATGCCACTGCAAGCTGGGAAGTGGGAGATGGTATCAGGGTAAGTTAAAATGTCACAAAGCTCTCTTATCTAGACTCATCTGTTTTTTTTTTCTTAATCAATTAATCATTTCTCTGCTTGTGGTAAATTTTGATTCGATTCCAGAGTTTTGAAAAAAGTTGATTCTCACAGTTTTTGCCAGTTTATTTATTGCTTTTGTGGAGAACAAACCTTTGGAGTTTGTTCCTACTGCACAATTTTTGCAGATGTCACTCTCCTCATATCCTCATGTCACTCTCCTCAATAAGTATTGAAGTAAATACTTATTAGGAGCTAAGTTCCTGAGAGGTTCAGTAACTTGCCCATGTTGTATCAAGGAACACTAAGAGCAAGGATTTGACTCATGTGACTCTAGAGCCTATTTTAACCAATTATCCATTTATTCATTCACTGAAGAATATCTGTGTTACATCTACGAAATGCTAGGTACAGTTCTAGAAACAGGATTACCTCGTTGTACAAAATTGCAAATGTTCCTGTCCCTGAGAACTCATATCTTTATGGAGGGAGATTCATGATAAACATACTATATATTTGATATTAGAACTTAAGTGTTATGGAATATAGAAATTGGGGTACTTAATGGGTATAAGGGCTGCTATAGGAGAAGTGTGAATACAATTTTTTAACATTTATTTTGTTTTAGTTGCCAATTTATAGAAAAGTTCCAAGAATAGTACATGAATTCCTGTATTTGCTTACTTAGATCTATTCATGGTTAACATTTTGCTATATTTGCTTTATCATTCTCTCTCTCTCTCTCTCTCTCTCTCATTTACTAGTAATTTACATTTCATCATGCCTGTTTACTCTTCCATAGTTATTTTTTTTCCTAAGTAGAAGGAAATTCTGTTGTATGAGCTCGGTATCATTAACAATCAGGAAAGTTAACATCTATACAATACTAGTATTTAATCAACAATTTATGTTCTAATTTCTTCTATTATTCAGGTAGTGTCCTTTGTACCAATTATGTTTTCCAGCTCGGAATTCAGTTCAGCATCATTCTGCTTTAGTTGTCATGTCTCTTTAATCTGGAACAGTTCCCTCTTCTTTTGTATTGTATTACACGTAGATTGGATTCAGTTAGTGTATCCTTGGCAAAAACTCTAAGTGAATCTTGTCCTTGTCAGTGGAATACATAGGGGGCCTTGATGTTGGTTTGTCTCATTGTTGATTAGGCTAATGTTCATCACTTCATCAAAATGTTTTTAAGCCAGATTTCACCATTGTAAAGTTGTTACTTTTTACTTTTGTAATTAGTAAGTAATTTGTTGGAAGGTACTTAGAGATGATGTAAGTATCTTTTCCCTCATGTTGATTCAATTTTATTCTTTGAATATGTGAAATATTAACATGATTCTAAATTTCAAACCATATAAAATGTATAATCAGGTATATGCCCAGTAGTGGGATTGCTGGGTCGTATGGTAGTTCTATTTGTAGTTTTTTAAGGAACCTCCGCAAAATAAAATAATAATAATAAATAAATACACTTTAAATACATTACATCCTCCATCGTTCTTTTGCCAAAGTTTCCCCCATCATCTCTTGATTGGATAGAATTCATCCTCTAGCAGGTTATCCATGAAGGGCTCATTTGCACAGATTCTTTTACTCTTTTTTTTTTTTTTTTTTCGGTACGTGGGCCTCTCACTGTTGCGGCCTCTCTCGTTGCGGAGCACAGGCTCCGGACGCGCAGGCTCAGCGGCCATGGCTCACGGGCTCAGCCGCTCCGCGGCACGGGGGATCTTCCCGGACCGGGTCACGAACCCGTGCCCCCTGCATCGGCAGGCGGACTCTCAACCACTGCGCCACCAGGGAAGCCCTACTCTTTGCATATATAACTTATTTTTCTATAGTCTTGATAATTAGATGATGGCTTTGTTGCATATAAAGTCCTCGGCTCACAATTTGTTTCCTTTCTTTTGGTTACCTGAAAATAACGTTCCATTCTTGCCTTGCTTTGCAGGTTGCTCTTAAATATCCTGATGCCAGTATAATTTTCGTACTCTTGTAGGTATTACGAGTATTGTGCCTGGAGTCCTTGAGTATGATTTATTTGTCTTTAGAGTCTAACCATTTTTTAGGCTGTGTCTCTGAGTTGATCATTCTCAATTTTCCCAGACACACGGTTAGCTCTTACATAAATTTAGGCTTTCTTTTATTTCTATAAAGGATTCTTAAATTTTATTTTAAAAATATTAGTTCTATTCCATTGTTCCCTCCAACTCTCAGGTCACCAGCGTTCTTGAACATGAGAGATGGGGTGGAATATAGCAGAAAAGTGGAGGGGCTGAATTTAGATAGGAGCACAGATAGTCCATTTTTGTAATGGGAAGGAAAGCAGGGGGTGTGGACATGGATGCTGACAGGTGGTACCTAAGGAGATGCTCTTCTAATGGCTTTGGCTTTCTCAGTGGTAAGAAGCAAGATCTAAGCTAACTCTCTAATTCCTCCCACATGAAAAAGGGTAAGGGTTGAGTGAATTTGCCAAATTTAAATTTGTGGTCTGAATGCAAATCATTTACCATAATCTGTGAATGATGTTCTAGAAGGACCTCAGAGAACAATCAGTCCCTGGCCCTTCTACCGAGGAAGGAAGTAGAGCACCCAGAGCTACTTCCTTCTGGAATGTGTTCATGTCCAGAGCAACTGAGAATGGCATTGATGGGGGATGCGAACCGAGAGAGAAATCAGACAATCTGGAGGACTGTGTGTGGGAGGTGTTGAAGACCTGCCCTGTATTGCTTTAGGAGCAGTGAGAGAAAGCACAGATGTAGACTTTGAGTATAAGAAAGAACTTTCGGGCTTCCCTGCTGATGCACGGGACACGGGTTTGTGCCCCGGTCTGGGAAGATCCCACATGCCACGGAGCGGCTGGGCCCGTGAGCCATGGCCGCTGAGCCTGCGCGTCCGGAGCCTGTGCTCCGCAACAGGAGTGGCCACAACAGTGAGAGGCCCCAAGTACCATAAAAAAAAAAAAGAAAGAACTTTCAAGCACTGCGTGAGGCCGTTGTGTGAGGTGGTGAATCCTCTCTCCCCAGGAGTATGCATTAAGTGGCTGAATATCATGTCAGGGATGTTGAGCTGGAGATTCCTGGGTCAGCAGGGTGATTGCCAAACGGTCTCCAGAGCAACGCCAAGTTGACCGTTCATCTTCTCTCTCCATCTGAACGCCCAATGTCAGTAGCTCTTGTCCACGCTACCTCCAACATATCAATATATTAAGAACCCAGCCATTTCTAACTTCCTCCATCTGAATCGCCCTGGACCAATCCACAGTGTTCTCTCTCCTGAATTATTTCGTGGTCTTCTAGATGATTCCTCTGCTTCCCTCTTGGCCCCCCACTCTCCTACCCAAATCTATTCTCAAAAGAGCAGTCAACTGATCCTTTAAAATTTTTTTTTAAAGACTTTTTTTTATGTGGACCATTTTTAAAGTCTTTATTGAATTTGTTACACTATTGCTTCTGTTTTGTGTTTTGGTTTTTTGGCCATGAGGCATGTGGGATCTTAGCTCCCCCACCAGGGATCAAACCCGCACCCCCTGCATTGGAAGGCAGAGTCTTAACCACTGGACCACCAGGGAAGTCCCATCCTTTTAAATTAGAAGTCAGGCAACGCCACTCCTCCGTGTCAAACTCCCTGTTCCCCAGCGTCCTAACAACGACCTACATGGTTACATGTGATCTGCCCCACCCCCCACCAACTTCTGACCTCATCCTCCACAGCGCCCCTCCTTGCCCTGTGCTCCCCGCTTACACAGGCCCCCTGGCTGTTCCTCAGACCTGCCGAACGGACATGCTTTCTCTGTCTTCAAAGGGCCCTGACAGTTTCTTCTTCCTGGAATACTTCTGCCTCAGATATTTAGAGAACTCACTTTTTTTCTACTTTCTCCTTAGATTTCATTACCTATTCAAAGAGGCTCTGCAAGTCCACCCTTTGTAAAAAAGCATTCCCATCCTTTTACCTTCTTTTATTTTTCACAATAGTACTTATCGCCTACATATGATATATTTAATTATTTGTTTATATTCTGACTGCCTTGCTTGACAGTGGCTTTGTCTGTTTCTTAATTGCTGAATTCTCGGTGTCTAGAAGCGGCCCAGCACAGAACCGGTGCTCAAGAAATATTTGTGAGAGGAATGAATAAGTGAATAGGTGTGATTGTGTTTTCATATGGGGATGGTGGACAATGTGACAGTCAGCCAGGACTTGTCTCCTTCTTCCTGGAGAGAGGAGAAGGACCAAGTGTTTTATAACTTGATGGGGCTTTAAAATCTTACTGTGTTCCAGTTCCAGGAGAGATGCAGTAAACCCATGGCAGCCTCTGTCTCCCACTGACTGTAAAAGCCAAGCAGAGTGTACGGCACAGCTATTTGAAGTCTCTGAACAGTAAGTACCAGCAAGTGAATTGGGGGGTAAGAGGCACCAGGATTCCAAGTGCCACTGAACTGGTGGTGAATTGAGCCTGTTTTTCCGTTGGGCCTCCCCTGAGCAGAACTCAGCACAGCCTGAAACCCGGAAGTGAGTGCTAGGTGCAGAGACACAGAGAGAGAGATGCAGAAGAGACCCCCTGGTTCTGGTTAGAGCAATGAAAGAGGGGACTCCTAAAACTCAGAACATGGGGAGGCACCCCTGATTTTTCCTTTCTTTTTTCTCTACGCTCATGTCCCAGCCACTAGGGAGTCCATGGCAGGAGTGGGAGTGGCAGCCAATGTGTTTGTCAACACACAAAGGCAGCGGCCAGCCCTCTGAGGAAGGGGAGCCTGTGCTCTGGCCTCAGGGTGCTCTTTCTTCCTGCTTTGGGGGCTGTGTCCCCCCTGTTGGGCACCTCAGGGCTCCTGATACCTATCACTCTTACCTGTCAGTTTTTAACCTGGATCAGTGGGTGTGGGGATACACGTGTTCTTGGGGACACAACAGCTGTCACATCTGGGACAAGTTAAGAAGCCTGGCTCCAGACTCCGCTATAAATATTCTGTGGCCGAGCTCTACCCATCACCCCAACCCAGGTCCTGACCTCAAATATGCTGAGCCCAGCCCACTGGACCAAAGTGCAGAGGGAGGAAATAATGAGCCACCTGTCTTTTAAAAACCGTCATGATCCCTGGGTCAGCTGTGACTCCTGCGTATGGGGAGTGGGGCTAAGCTGGAGGTCAGGGAAAGGGGAGCAGAGGAGGAACGCCAAGATCTAGCCTCCCGGGGCACTTGGATGGGCCAAGCCCTGGCATCTGTGATGAAAGACAGAAGCCCAAGAGGTGGGGCCCCTGCTGACCTTCCTTGACTGTTCTGAGGCTCCATGAAAAGGAAAGTTCTTAACAATGCAGAAAGGGCTTTATGAGTAGAGAAGCGAGAAGCTTGTGCTTCTTTGCACATGTGCTCTGCCAGTTAATCCTCACTAAGCCCGTGACGTGTAGTAGGATATCCATGTTCCAGATGAGCAAACTGAGGCACAGAGAGGTTAAACAAACCTCTATGTCCAAGGTCACAGTCCTGGGGAGTGACAGGGCTGGGGAAGCCTTCAATAAACACATTTTCCTGTGTTGGAATTGATATGAAACCCAGACAGTTCCTTAATTCCTAAAGTCCTGACTCCTAACACCTGGGCCGTGAACTTTAAGAAGACAGAGGCCAGCAGCCCTGTGCAGGAGACTAGAAATCAGAACAATTCACATTCAGTGACTTGCTGAGTACAAGATGCTCTGCCCCTTGTGGTGAGATGTGAAAGCACTTAGGCCCAGGCCCATGAGGTCTTCACAAGTCTCCCTAAGGAACCGTCTCTGGTTGACAAGGACAGGTGTGCTTCTCATGCAGCCCTCTCTGGTCCCCTTGTATCAGGAATGCCCGGCCTGGGAAAGGATGGACTGGCCAGAGGACTGTCTGATGCAAGGTGGCTCTCAGCTGAGGATTCACGGCACTCTCCGAGGTCTGCAGACCCACGTGCCTCACTTATCAGAGAAAGCGATTGAGGCCTTCGAAGGGGAAGAGATTTGCTCTGAGTCCAACCAGGAGTCAGTTAGGACTGATGGTTGTTTCTGAGGAAGAGGAGGCCTGAGGGAGCAAACTCTGGCATTAAAGTTTGGGGGGACGTGGTCCTGTGGGCTTGTGGGAGGAGCAGACAGTGGGCCAAAGGACAGTGGGCAGGAGAGGACAGTGAGGGGACTCCCGTCTCGTCATGAGTAAGGCGGGGAGCCTTTAGTTTTCAGCCTCAGTTCTTTAATTGGTAAATTGGCCTCAGAGGAAGATCGAGCTCAGGCAGCTGTGCATTTATAAACTGAGAAGCACTGAGTAGTTAAATCCATAACACCCAGAACTGGAGAAACGGAAGGCTAACAACCTCCATCATATTTATAATATGTACCATGAACACACTGTGATAAGTTACATCATATTAATGACAATATTGGGTATATTGGGTTCTAGAATCACTGGACTGGCACGGTAAGTGCCTCTGAGGCCATCTAGCTTAGTCTCCCTTATCTGATATTAGAATTCTCTGATCCATATTTGTGCCAAGGAGTACTGATACCATCCTGACTAACAGTGGGCATGTTGAATTTCAGAATTCACCCAGGGACCGGGAGAGGAGGTCTGTGCCGAACCCCCTCCAGGCAGCCCTGGTCAACCAGATCCATTCTCTTGTCCTCTTGGACCCTGAGCACAGACAGATTCGGCATCCAGGGTGGTCTATCATCACCATCTGAACAAGAAAACCGGCTCTGGGTGAGGAATTGGACTGGAACACTTTCTGTGGTGTTTGCCATGCTCTCACCCCAGGAAGGGAAGGAAAAAAGGGCAGATGGGCACAGGGGTGGAGATGGTGGCCCACTCCCCCAGACCCAGGAGGAAATGGGCCCCCCTGTCCCAGTATCAACTGAAAGTCCCCAAAGAGCTCCTGATATCACTCCAGAGTACACATCACAAGCGCAGGGCCCTGATTCCCTGTGAATCACATCTCCCCAGATGTGGTCAGCATTGCTGCCGCATTCATCTGTCACCTGGGAGTCATCGTTTCACACAGTTGTTCCTTAGCAATCACCAAGAAACCACACCGGTGAAGAACACTGCCCCACCCTGCCCCCAGCCTTGCCCAGTACCTGGCGCTGGTGGGGAGCCCATTCCTTCATGTTAACAGAACACCCTCCACAAAATGTAACCACACGCAGGAAGGTGGTCCCACTCCTCCAAGTGATGCAGGCTCTGCTCTAGAGCTGTTGAGGCCACAGGAAGTGATCACTACTCGAGGGGGGGGGGGGGGGGTCCCTCGAGTAGTGGGTAGTGAGGCAGCCAGGGACCAGGGCCCTTTCCCTGTAATTCTCATCTCTCTCCTTTCCCAAACTCAGTCCACCTGTTGGGATAGAAGGTAAAGTCAGACTCTTGTCCTAACTTCATCACTCCGTGCACCGCGTCAAACAGTAAAGAATAAGGCATAAAACACTCTCTTAAAGGAACCTGTTCATCCCAGCCTGATGCAAGACGGACTCCATCGGAGCCTGGGTGATGGTGGGGCCCCTCGGCCGCGGGTGAAGCAGACGCCCTGGAGTCGGCTTCGAGGCAGACTGGGGGTGCTCCAGGACACTTGGCCGAGGAGCAGAGACCTGGCCATGTGAAGACTTGACTTCACTCGGATGTAAGTGGAGGGGCAGAGCGGAGCTGTGGTCAGGGAGGGGAGGCGGGGAGCAGGGATGATGGGAGGGGCCATGTTTTCCTCGTACTAGGATTCCAGCTCACATCCCAGTCTTGCCTTCTGAGCCGTCCTGAGAACCCTCACCTGAGAAAGGAGGAGGGGCTCAAGAGAGGCTTTGGGGCTTTGGGGCGGGCCTGCAAACAGCACATCCCCTGCCTGGGTAGGGAGACCCAAGGTGGAGCCTTGGGCAATAGCAGAGGGCAGTGGAAGGTGGTCCCAGGAGGAGACTCCTTGCCAGCTCCCCCGACCCTGCGTAAACCAGTGGGGATAAGGGAGAGGGCACCCAGTTCCAATGTCCACTGATCAACTGAGCCCTGGCCTGTGGGGCAGCTGGTGCCAGCATGGGGAGTGCCCGGGGGGTGGTGGGAGTTCCACTGGAGGTAGGAGTGGAGAAGACAGTTGTCTTGGGCAGTTCAAGATGGTAGAAAGCAATAACAAATTTTGACCACATCTTCTCATGGGAAAGGCCAACTTACACTCTCCAAAGAGAGTCCAGAGAAGAGAGAGTCACGGTGGATGTCCACATGCCTCTTTGTTGTTTGGGTTGACACGCTGTGCTGGGTGCCTCACTGTCCTTTCTCATTTCGTCTTCGTAACAACTCTCTGGAGAGGGCGTTACTGTCCCATTTTATAGACGAGGTCCCTTGCTGGTGGGTGTGGGGCAGGATGATTGATGCTGATGCTCTGGTAGGGAGAATCTTGGGCCACAAGAGTGGGCGCCCTCTGCACCGTCCCTGCATCCAGCTACCTACTTCCAGCCAAGGCTTCCTGGCTCCCTGACAGTCCAGGGGGAACATCGCGTGGGGGGAAGGGACACCAGGACCCCCAGAGGCCAGAGTGACCAAAAGACAAGGACATGGGGCATGTTGGCAGCACGGGCAGGGTGGAGTACAGAGGTGCACACCTGGGCTTGCTAAATGTCCCTGGGCTCTGCATGTCCCCTGCTGTGGAGAGCTTTGCCCAGCCCTTCCCATTCAGTACAGGACCCCTGGGACATTCTATGCGGAAGCAGAGGCTTTGGGCATCTGCCAGGCCAAGGAGGACTAATCCTGCCTCATGCCACTCATGGTGGTTTTGGAGTTTTCTCCCCCCTCCATGTCCACGCCTCCATTCCGGGAAGGCGTCATGTTTAACGTACTGGCCTTCAGCCATGCAGTAGACGGGGTTGGGTATCCTCCTCCTACTGTGTGAATCACTACACACACACGAGGGCTTGGAGCAGCGCTGAAACTGGCGAGGCCCGAGTGCCACAGAGCCAGGGTCACATCCACCTGAGTTTGGCGGTACCTCCATAGACCACACACGGGTGTGTGATCCTACGTTTCCCAAACACCTGTCGTCCAGAACAGAATGCCCCAGCTTGGGTCAGGTCCTAGGTCAGAACATTCATAAGCTTAGGTCCCTGCTGGCCTCTCTCCCCCTATCTCCTTGTCAGAGCAGAGGTGGCATCCCCTCCCCCAAGACTGCTCCTGGGCAGGGAGTGGTCAGGTGGGGGGCAGGGAGCTGGGGAGAGGGGTGCCCCTTCCATCCTATCTGATCTCAGACCTTCCTCCTCAGGGCCCAACGCCTGGCCCGGCTATATTTGGAAGCTCAACTCAGTAACTAGAGCGACTGGACCACCGCAGCTCCTGTCCCCACCCCTTCAAAGGACTCTGGAGGGGCCAGTTCCTCACACCTTTTAACCAAGTCTTCCATTTCTCCAGGCAACCCACAAAAGGCCTGGGCCAGGTGGTGGAGATGCTTGGGCTCCAACACAGGGGTTCTCTTTCCTGTTCTGCATTCTTCCAGGCCGGGTAATTACAGATCAGTCTTCAGAGGCGTTCTGTTTCTTAGCGTCGGCTGCCAGAAAGCCCGTTTACGTTAAGCTGGCCTCACCACTTCTAGCTGGTGCTACACTGCAGAGCACTATCTCACGCACACGGCCATCTGTGGGCCGCGCCTCGCGTGGGCGCCTTTGTGGGCACATTCTAGTCCGCAGCAGTGTGCACCCGCTACGTGCCAGGCCGAGCCGGTCCGGGCGCAGGGCGCACCGTGGTGAAGTAGAGGGCCGGGTCACTGTGTCTGTGGACTTTACATCTCAGTGGCAGAAACAGTAAACCAAGAAGTAAGACCGTGTCAGGTAGTGAGAAATGCTAAAGGAAATATAGCACATCTATGTGTAGCGAGTGACGGGTAAGCGGGGGGGGGGGGGCGGCTATGGTGGCAGCTTCAGAAAGTGTCACCGGGCTGAGCCTGTCCCAGGAGACATGAAAGTCTGAAGGCCAAGCATTTCAGGCAAAGGGACAGCAAAGACAGAAGCCCTATGTGGGAATGAGCGTGGTGTGTTTGTAGCTGGACAGCAGTAGCAGGGCTGGGGTGAGGAGGGATGGTAGGATCTGAGGTCAGAGATGTCAGCAAGGGCCAGGTCTGAAGGGTTCAAGAAGTGAGATCTTGGACTCTGCAGTCACATTTCCTGGGCCCAGTTCCCTCCTGGGCTGCTTACTAGCTGTGTGACCTTGAGCAAGTTACTTAACCACTCTGGGTCTCTGGGGAGGTAATGACAGAACTTCCTTCTGAGTTGTTGTGATGATCAAATAAGTTAACATATGTAAAGAGCTTAGAACACTGCCTGGCACGTAGTAGGTGCCATGTGCATATGTGTCGGCTATTCCTTTTTAATAAGCGTTTGCTCTTATGATCAGCCTCATTGTTATTACAGAAAAGGAGCTTAGATCTTAAGAGGTGTGTGTGTTTCTCTGCTGGGACAAGTTCTGGACTGGAAATTAGGAGAGAATTGAATCTTACTCCTTGTTCTGACTTCCCGTCCCTGGGTGTCCAGTCCCTCTAAGGGGAATCAGAACAGAGGACCCACAGTACGCAGTTGACACAGGAGCTGGTTCTGTAGGGTGAGGTCTTAATAAAAAGGTAAGGTTTTTACCCAGGGAGTAAGTTTCAATCGCATCAAGGGAGTGTCATAGACTGGCTCACACTCAGAGGACACATCTGTCACCTGGAGCAGGGAGGAGAGGAGGGCAGAGAAGTGAGGGAGCAGGCCCAAGCCTGGAGGAGACTGGACAGCAAGGCTACTTCCCAGGATCCTTCTTTATTGCTTTTGGCCTCACCAGGTACTGTGGAGATGGCTGGGATAACGGCATTAAAGGCCCAAGGTCAGGTGGGCACTGGGCTTGCGACAGGCCACTGCCTCATTTTTTTCATCTGTCAAATGAGGGGGTTAGGGCTTCCCTGGTGGCGCCGTGGTTGAGGGTCCACCTGACGATGCAGGGGGCACAGGTTTGTGCCCCGGTCCGGGAGGATCCCGCATGCCGCGGAGCGGCTGGGCCCGTGAGCCATGGCCGCTGAACCTGCGCGTCCAGAGCCTGTGCTCCGCAACAGGAGAGGCCACAACGGTGAGAGGCCCGCGTACTGCAAAAAAAAAAAAAAGAAAAAAAATGAGGGGGTTGGTAGAGACAGTCAATAAGCTCTTTTCTAGCTGCCCCCCTCAAAACACTCATGGGAGGCTCAACCACTGGGGCGGGGTCAGTGGGGGAACCTCTTTGAAAATGAGCCGTGGGTCAGGGTTTGTTTTCCTCTCCAGCTGGAGGCGAAGGAGGAAGCGGTGTGTGGATCCGGCTAGGTGCGTAGTCGGTCATCAGAAGTGCCTGCCCCTTCCCCAACTAGATGACCAGAGGCCCTGACAAGTTCCGCTAATTTACAAACACACATTCGCACCCCTACAACGCACGGGCTTCTGAAAATGTGCAGGTAAGTCAAATTTTTGTAAATCAAATTCTATTCAATGTGGTTTGGTTGCTTTACTGTTTAAAGCAGCCCTGTTGCAAAACCTCTTGTGAAGTAAATAGCTCTCCCTCCATAAATACCAACGTTCATATTCAGGCTTTCAAAGTATGGGAGCCCCATCTGTTCAAATGTGTCTGTGTGTGTATGTCCCTGGGTGTGTGTGTGTGTGCCTTTGTGCGTGTGTGCGCGTTGGCATTCACTCTGGCACATAAAAGGATCCATGAATGCAAATTGTTTCTTTCTCTCCACGGCTTTGTTGTGATATGTTGCTGGAAAAAGACACACTGTTCCAGCAAAGGGCAGCCCTTGAGTGGCTCAGATCTCTATCTGAGCTTGCAGCCTATCCTTCCTGGCGTCTGACTGCGACTCCCCAGGGGCATACCCATAGGGCGGCCACCTCGGGGCGAGGCACAAAGGGAACTTAATCATTTGGGAAACATGAAAAACCTGCCTTAGCCTGGCATGGGACAGGGAAGGAGAGGCAGATGTGGGAGAAGGGGGTGACTGGGGATCCTCCTGGAATTCGTTCACCAGATTGCATTCTACAATCAATTATTCATCAGAGGACATCCAGGGAGCCACTGCTGTTTGCTTCCTGTTTGTCCGCAAGACCAGCACGGTGGCCCTAACGGTTGTGTATTTCCGTGCCTGGAAGAGTGGCCTGACTTCCCCTGGCAAATTCACGCCGCCTCCCTCCGCATGGCCCCTTGTCTCACGACCCCACACCGCTGAACTCTGTGCGGAGAAGCGTCCCCCTTGCTCCCCAGCCTTCCGCAAGCTAGAGCAGGGGCCAGCCGAGGAGACTCTGGAAAGCCTCTTCATCATTTATTTATGGTCCCTGGCCTCATCCCTGAAATAATTAGGGCTGGATATTTTCATATCATGCAGTTAATTGCCATCTGCGCTGCTTAACAAGTCAGGCCACTGGGTGGCGATCCTGGAGGCCCAGGAGGACGCTAGATGGCTGGCGTTGGCTGCTGCGGCCTGGGGGCAGGGAGGGGGAAAGGCTGTGGGCTGTGGGCGGGGCGGGGGCTCAGGTTCAGGGGAAAGTGGTAAGAACCTGCTTCTCCTCTGGGAGGAGAGGGAGACAGATCCTGGCAGAAAGCTAGGTTCTCACCACAACAGACACCCCAGGAACTATCTTAAGAGCGTGAAGATTTCAGATCAGAAGCCCAGTGTTCTAGCCCTTCTGGTTCCCCAGAAGAGGGGTCTTCTTTGGGATCCCCGAGTCTGTGTGATTTGTTGAGGGAGTGCTCTCAGGAGAAGCTGTGAGGGAGTGAGGGGAGCAGGAGAAGAATCTAGGCCAAGAAGTCACTTCAGGTGAGGCTAAGCCACGGCTTGACCCACGAGGAGCTCTGGAGCCGAATGGCATGTGGAGTTGTCCCACCTTAAGACAAGGGGGCTGCCTTTAGTCCCTACCCAGTGTCATTAGCCAAGGGCTGTTCCCAGGGCAGGGGCATATGATGGAGGCCTTAACCTCCTGGCTGTCTCCCAGGGAAGTGTCTCCTGTTGGCTAAGGACAACCTGCTGGACAAGGGCACATGGTAAGCCATTAGCAGCCATCACTGCAGCAGCTTGGGGCAGGTGCCTGACAGGTGAAGGAGATGTGGGTGGGGCACCAGGGGCGTCTGATACATCCTTCCATGCTGAGGCTTGGGCCAGCCGCTCTGAGGTCCAGTACCCTCCCATGTGGAAGACGATTGCTGTCTTGTAGTGCAGAAGGGTAGCAAATTGATGGAGCGTGTTGGAAGGCATCTTTTAGCTGTGATGTGCTCTGTAAATACCCAATAGTATTACTGCACATAACCCCTGCTGTTGGGGAAGAAGGGCCCGGATTTAACTTTGCATGGGGCTGGAGTACACAGACCAACGCTTGGCTGGATTTATAAGGCTTCTCTCATCCCCCTCTCCCCTGGCCCGGGCTCCCTCCGTTAGACAAACCTTCCTTTGGGAAGGTATTATCCTTGGGGATAACTTACAAAGTGGAGAGGGTTAATTTCCAGCTCTCATTCATAGATCACAGATACTAGTGTGAGACCGTTTTCAGGCCGTCTTAGGCTAGAGCAAGGGAGAGGCGTGAGGGCCAAGCAGACAGGCTCGGGGTTCCTGCAGCTCGAGGGGGCTGCAGGAGGGCCTCTTCCCATCCTCACCTATTCTGGGGCAGGTTGACATGGAGGCTAGAAAGGGCTGAGCACTCAGGCTGGCGACAGCGGCCCTCTGTCACCAGAGAATAATGAGTTCAACGGCAGCACTCCCTCCCTGCCCTGCTGAGCCCCCTTCTTTCCTGTGCCCCAGCTCGTAGGAAAAGGAGGGGCCCCCGCCAAAGGTGGCCCCTGTGTGATGAGCGAGGTTGCCTCTGTCCAGGGTGCACGCCAGGAGAAGTGATCACTGGGGGAGGCAGGGGAGGGGGCTGGGGGGACAGCCCTCCATTGTGACAGGTCCTAGGGAGACAGGCAGCTCCTGGGAGCCCAGCCAGGCCTGTGGGGCGAGGCAGGGAGGGGCAGCTGGTCAACAGAGCCCTCTGGTGTGCCTGGGGCTGAGTGTGGCCTGGAGACAGCAAGTGTGAACAGCCTCAGGGTCAGAAAGGCTGACTGCTCTCTGTCAGGCCTTCAAGGGAGAGAAAACAATGACATTCTGGTGCCCTTTTCCTCCTCAGGAAGGGACTGCAGTGCCTCAGCCTCCCACATCGCCTCCCTCCCCCGTGCTGGGCCCTGGTTCTTGGGGTGTCCTGCCTTGGTCCCCCCTCGTGATGTCAGATGTCACCCTGCCAAGAGTCCCACCTAGGCTCTTGGGTGTGCCCCATCTCCCAGGGTTGGGGAGGACTGAAAAATCCAGAGAATGCCTGGGCTTGGGGAAAATGCATGTTCGTTGTCATTAGTGGGAATGGGGATTTTTTTCTAGGGAAACAACTCGATTCTACCTTACAGGGCGTGTGTGTGTGTGTGTGTGTGTGTGTGTGTGTGTGTGTGTGTGTGTGTGTGTGTGTGTGTGTGTGTGTGGGTGTGTGTGTGTGTGTGTGTGTGTGTGTGTGTGTGTGTGTGTGTGTGTGTGTGTGTTGGGGCCTAGGACGCACTGTCCCCCAGCTCAAGAATAGATGCCTACATGGAACAGACAGGTCCAGACTCATCAAGGACCAGTCTGACTTAGGAAAGCTTTGGTTTCACTGCTGCCCACCCAGCACGAGGCTGGGCTCTGTGCACCAAGGTGGGTAGGAGAGGTGGGCCAGGCAGAGCCCCTGCCTCAGGGCCCGCAGAGTAGATTTACTCAGAGGAATAATGTGGGGTGGCCGGGGTCAGACCTAGGGGATCAGAGAAGGGAGGCAGTGCAGAGTCCACCAAAGTGGTCAGGGAAGGCTGCATGGAGGAGGTGGGGTTTGAAAGAATTGCAGAACTTGAACTGGGAAAGAAGAGGAAGGAGAGGGTGAATAGGGAGGGCAGCTGTGCCAGCTAAGTACAGGGGCAGGAAGAAGAGAGGGAGCCTGGCTGGAAGAAAATCTTGCCAGAATCATCATCATCATGGAGCCAATACTAACTGAACACCTACTATGTTCCAGGCACCATTCTCAGAGCTTTCCATGTTAACTTATGTAATCCTCACAATGACCCCATGAAGTAGGTACTATTCTTCCCATTTTAGGGAGGAAGAAACTGAGGCCCAGAGAGGTTAAGTAATGGGTACAAGGACATTCAGCCAGTGAGTGACAGCATCAGGATTTAAACCCAAGTAGCCTTGGTCTGGAGCCTCTTCTCCTAATCGGTAAGCCTTTTTATACAAGCTAGCACACACTGAGTGCTTACTGTGTGCCAGACACCATCCTGAGCATTTTATTCATGGAAGCCTCACTGTTAAGCCCATTTTACAGACGAGAAAACTGAGACCCAGAAAGTTTCACATGAGATTACTCAAGGTTACACAGAGATCAGTGGAGCCCGCACTGGACCCCAGGCCATCTGAGTCCTTAGTGACCCCATGACCCCTCCACATGGAGCGGGTGGGGAGGTGGTGTGGGTGAAGGCTTTGCCCCCAAGCACTGGGAGCCCTTGGGTGATTTGATCACCGGGAGGATGCACACAGCTGGGTCATTTGTTAATGGGCTGCTTGTTAGGAGTGGGTGGGAGACTCAGCCTAGACACAAGCTTATTATGGACACGGGAAGCCCTTTCTGGAAACTCCACTCACCCAGTAGGTGGGGCGAGTTTTCTAGCTGGGCAGAGAGGCTCTCTCTCCTCTGTCCCCTAACTTGGGCCCCACTTCCTGGGAGCCTTCCGAAGCTGCGGCAGGGGCAGAGCCTGCGTCCTCTGTGGCTCCTGTGGCCTAGTTTCCAGGCAGCCTCCAGGTACTGGGTCCTGGCAGGCAGGTTATAAATATCCCCGAGTGACAGTGAGGCCTTCACTCTGACGCTGACGTGGCTTAAGCTGGATGTGCAGCCTCAAGGTCATCAGCATGGCTGTGGCATCCGCTGCTCTGGGAGGTCTAGTTGAGGCTGGTGCCAAGGTGGCAATGGCAGGGGAGCAGGGCCCTGAGCCCCCAGGTCTGGCCCAGCTCAGAATTTCCTACTATGTGGGCGAAGTTCTTTACTCCTGCTCTTACCTGCTCTGAATCTCCCCCCACTGCCAGCTTCCTCTGCCCTCCCTCCAGCTTGCCCTCAGCAGGTTTTCTTAACCCAGTCTTGGCCCAGAGGCCCTCAAACCACAGGCCTTGGTTAAGGGGATGTGTTGTCAGGTAGGGGAATGGATTGGTGGGCAGATGGGTTGTCAGGTGGGGGATGGGTTATCAGGTGGGGGGATGGGTTGGTGGGGGGATGGGTTGTCAGAGGGGGATGGGTTGCCAGGTGGGGGATGTGTTGTCAGGTGGGGGATGGGTTGTCAGGTGGGGGGGATGGGTTGTTAACTGGAGGCAGTTCCTGGCTTTCTGCCCACCTTCTCTTCAGCCGTACCTCCTTCCCCAGCACCTCTTGTCCCCCACCCCTTTCTGGGTGGAGTTGGCCAGTGCCTCTGTGTTGACCCAGCAAAGTTGTGCCCAGCTCCCTGGGGATCTTGCACGTGTGTGCATGTGTGTGTATGGCCAAGTCTACTCTGTTTATAAAAACAATATTTAGAAATCTCAGAGTCTCACAGCCAGTCGGGACGTAAAGGATAAATTTATTCTGAGACTGAGGCTCGGAGAAGGCACACGATGTGTGGACAGCTAAAGCCCAGGCTTTCTGAACTCTGACTCCCAGCCCAGTGCTCTCCAGGGACAGTCTGCCTTTGGATTTGGGTCCATGTCAAGGGAGCCCCAAGAGGGCCCAGGGACCTAGGTTGGGGCTAAGGGGACCTGGGCTCAAGGAGCTGGGTGTGGGGTGGGGATGGATGGGCTGACGTCACGAGCATGTGACGTCGTGGAGAAGAAGCTGCAGGTGTATGGAGAAACAGCAGCAGAGGCTCTTGGCATGGCCCGGTGGGACCACCAGCTGGACTCAGTGACCCAACTGCTGTGGACACTGGAGGAAAGATGGTAGAAATCCCAGCAGATCCTTTCAAAGACAACCTAGCACTGCCCTTGTTCAGAGACCAAGGGTCCTTCCCTCCTCCAGAGGGTTGAAAGGAATGGGAAAGCAAATCCAGACCACAGCTTACCCGGAGCCTGAGGGCCGAGCTGGGTCAGGTTGCGTAGACAGTTCCAGGACATCCGGGGGAGGATGTAACGCCCCGTGAGCAGCCCCCCTCAAGAAGGCCGAACGCATGTCAGGAACATTTCCTGGGAGCTTGCCCAGGCTGTGCTGGCCCTGCAGGGCTCATCTCCACCATCTCACCACCTCTGGGAAGACCAGAAGCAGGCCAGCCAGGAAGGAGGAGGTGCTGCAGGGGCTCAGGTGGCTCGGAGGTGGGGGCAGGCCCCTGGCCTGGCACGCCTGCCCCACCGAGGCCTGCACCCAAGGCGAAGAGGAGGCTGAAGCTGCCCCCAGGGAGTCAAGTGACTCCCAGCCCCACGTCTGAGCGCACCACTCCCCTGTCCCCAGACACCTCCTCCCCAGTGCAGGGCAGGTGAAGGATTAACGTGGAAGCACAGGGCTCTGCTCCCCACTCTGGCCTGGCTTGATGGGTGCTGGGTGGGCTTCTCCTTCCTCCTTTCAGTTTAAGCTGGTAACTGTCATGCTGCTCCGATATCATCTGTTGACATTTAGGTCCCAACGTTTTCTAAACATGGAAAGGACAAGATTGACCCCAGTTTGTGCTGCAGGGAGGTGGCCACGGAGGAGGGCCTTCCCAGCGGCATGAGGGACACTGGCCTCTCTCGGGCTCCCTTTGAGAGGAGAAGGGAGGAGAGACTTTCTTCACTGGTTGAGGAGACTTAGAGCCGCCCTGGGTTGGTCTGAAGGCAGAGGGGGTACTTGCTGCTACCCCATTCGTGCTCCATCCTCAGCCGGGATCACCACTGCAGCCACCTTTATCTCACAGGTGGCAAATTGGGGACTCATAACCAGGTGCTTGCTTTGGCCAACATAGTGTTTCACGATTTTGAATGTGAATGCTGTGCTAATTCTTTCCGGATCCCATCACTCCGTTATCCAACTTACTACTCTAAACCTTTACTTTACCTGCTTCCTACCTCATGAATGATGCCATTTCCAAACTTCTTGTAAATGCAGATGGCCCTGGGAAAGGGAGAACCTAATTCCCATGAGTTACACCTCGTGGGAACTGATTTTTTCACAGCCATCCTCCAATAACCAGTTGACTAGGGCTCTTGGGGGTTGGGGGTGGGCTGGGCTCATTTTGGAGCCTGGGGCACTGACCTGGACTTGAGCAGGCAGCAGAAGGGAGAGGTGGGCCAGGGCGGGGAAATGTGGGAGGTTCTTGGGAAGCTTCACCATTTTTCCAGGGTGGGTCTCATGGGACGGCTTCCAGCCACCATTTTTTAAGCCCCCACCATGAGCCAGGGATGGTGCTGGATGCCTCAGAGACATTATTTAAGCCAATTATCCCCACATCACAGATGGGAAAACTGAGAATCGGAGAGGAGGAGTCACAGTGGACAGGAAGCCACGGGGGCTTGCTTGCTCTGCACGGCACTGGGGTGACACGTTATCTTCATATGGCAGCGGCCCTTTCACTGATTCATCAAAGGTGGATTCATGGAACGTCCCCTTACTCACCAGGATCCAGGCTGCATACACTCCAGGCCCCTGGCCAGTTCCCAGGCTGACAGGAGAGGCAAGATGAACAAGTTGGAATCATCTAACTCTTGGAATGCGTACTGGAAGACTCCTACACCACTGCCACCAGCAAAACAACCAGCAGCGTTTCCCAAGGGCTCATGGGGCACCAGTCTGTCCTAGGGCTTCCCAGGTGTTAACCCTCTCAGCAGTCCGACCAAGTAGGTACTGTCACCACCTCCATTTTAGACAACTAACTGGTCTCAGAGAGGTTAAGTAATTGACCCAGTGCCACACAGCTAACGAGTACAGGCCAGGGTTTCTTACCACGACATCACCTAACAGAAGTGCGGGAGATTGGATGACCACACGGAGAACCCACTGGCTGCTCGCAACCGGCCCACATGCAAGACAGTTAACGGATACCTGGGGCAGGTAAGTGACTGGCCCAAGTCACTCAGCAAGCAGACAGTAGAGCTGGGTTTTCACCCCGGGTGTCATGCCTCAGAGATTTTGTTCATCCTTTTACCTTTATCTGGGAAGGACTCCTTGGTGATAGGAAGGAGGTGATGAGAAATACATCCTTAGAAATTCTTAGAGGAGGAGGCATCCTTAGAAATTCTCAGCTCCGAGGCAGAGCTTCCATAACTCCGTTTATGAAGTGCTGGGCCTACTGACCTTGGTCTGTTGGAGGGGCTCTGCCAGCAGCCTCCATCCCCCATTTGAGATGCACAGCCTGCCTCTGACTGAGCCGTCTGAGCTTCTCAATCCCCAGGAGTGATTCCGTCTCATGGATGAGAGCCTCCAACATCTGTACCTGTCGGGCGACAAATCCAGACACACACTCCCTGTCTGGTTAGAGATGCCTCAGGCCCTAATAGGCCCATGAGCCTGCCTGCTTCGCATAGATCCCTTCAGCTGAAAGCCCCCAAAATAAAAGGAAATGGGGAGCAATTCATGACGGGAAGTTGCCTGCTGATGCGTTTTGAAGGGTCTGGGGTACAGACATGGGGGAGTGGGCAGAAGACAGCTCCCACCACCTGGGTGACGCCTGGGTAGAATAAATGACCACCTGGTGCAAGGCAAGGGGTCCCATGCCCTCCAATCCCCGGTCCCTATTAGGTGCTTGAAATCCCAGCACAAGTATCTTCCACCTCTGGGGAGGCCAGCGGGGAGTGTTCTTGTCTTTTATGGCCCTGCACCAAGCTAGGCAGGGAGGAAACACGGGCAGCTGATGGGCAGAAGTATCCTGAGAGCGGGTTGGCAATGTGATGTGTGCACAGCCAGACTGCCCTGCTCCATGCCTTCAGGTCCTATTCTTCTCCCTCACTTTGGTAACTGTTTTGCCAGCAAACACACCTGGGGAAGGAACACCCCTGCCATTCCCATCCATTAGCCCTTCTCCAGCTCGACTGGACAGCTCCCAGGCAGGTGAGCTACAGGTGGAAAGACGCCAAGGGTCCATCTTCCCTGCTTCCCAGCAGGGCTCTGCCGTGCCTGGATTCGGCCGCTTCATCCTTACTGACTGTCTGATCACAGGTGCCTCAGCTCCCCTGCAATACCTTCACATACCATCCACGGTGATGGATGATGGGACACATTCACATCTGTTCCCCAGGGCAGTACCTTCCTGAGTGCAGGAAGCGTGTGTGCTGTACTCCTTTGGCCCTCCATGCGCTGAACACTGGAATACATGTCGGGGATTAATTCAGTGAGTGGTCGCTCTGCTCACTGCTGCTCTCCACTCCTGCACTCAGCCACCCCTCAGCACCACTTGAGGACTTCGGCATGCTTTCTGGTCACCCACAGCTCTTGAACACCCTTGCCCTGTTTGGGAATTTCCCACTCTGGGAGTCCTACCTCTCGGGGTGAGAAACCAGACTTTCTTCCCAGCCTCTGCGACATCCAGGACACAGGCGTGGACCTGGACTCTGCCAAAGGGACGCCCCTGCAGGAGGCATCGGCTTGAGACAAGCATGCAGGTACAGGTGCCACACAGTGGCTGTTTCCTGGTCAGAGCCGAGGCAGAGCCATCTGGCTTTGGGGGAAGCAATGGTGGAGGTCCAGGACCCAGCACCTTGAATCAGCACCATAATACATGTGCCCAGTCGTGCAGCTGTGGGGTCTTAGTGAGAGCATAGCCGAGGGGTGGGTTGGGCATCATTCCTGACTGTGTGGCTTCCCCCAGAGTCTGAGTCTGGCTCCCCCAAAGATTTGATATCTTCTTTTTCTGCTTAAACTAACCAGAGTAGATTTGCAAACTCCCGGACTGATACAGCACTCCCTGGAGTAGGTCTGAGGTCTGTGTCAATAGTGTGTGAGGGGGTGTGTATACACACATGCATGCACAGCGCTGGGTGACATACAGCTCCTGCCCTCAAGCTTACAAGCTAAAAAGTAATGGTGGTGATGACAGTGAAACTGTGTGTTGACAGGAAGGCAGCACACTCCGAGCAGGAGGAGGTGGGTGACTGTGACCAGGACTCAGCGGAACTCTGCAGGGCAACCTGCAGGGCTGCCCATCTGGAAATGAACGGAAGTGGGGGTGATTGGGACAGAGATGCCGTAGTACCTACAGCAGGAGCCGGGACACTGGGCCGCCAGCTGCCTCCCTCAAACAGGACTCGGTCCCACCAGAAGACTCCTTCCCAGCTCCCAGGTCCAGACTCTCTGGTGGATGCAGCTGTGCCTGCTGCCCACAGAGCTGCTCCCCCAGGTGCTCAGCCAGGCCTTTGCCCTCATCAGGGAGCTGAGCAGGGATGTAGGACCCAGGACTTTCAGGGAACGTGGCTGCCATTCCCCTCCACATCCTCAACTCAGGGTCCCAGTGGACAGAGTTCCCTTGGTGGCCTCTCAGTGAAGCACCATAATTACCCATCATGGGCTCTCCCTGCCCTGAAACACGTGCCTGATGAGGCCCCTCCCTGCCTCTCCCACCCCCGCCTCCACAGTCTCCCTGTCCCCTCTTACCTCCGTCTCTCTAGCCTCCCCTGCACGTATCCCACACCAGCCCCCCTTTCTCCCTCCCCTTTCTTCCCTTTCTCCCTTCCCGCTCCCCCACCTCTCTTAGCTACTTGTCCACCACCTACGTTCTCTCCACCTTGACCCCCAACCTCTCCTCCTCTTCCCTCGCCCGCCATCCTTTCCCGGGAGCCCTGCCGGCCTCACCTGCCTCTCCTGTGGTCCGGCTCTGTGAATTCTAGGGCAGACGGCACAGCAAGTCGAATTGGCCTCCCCTTCTCCTTGCAGGAGACATATCACAGTCCTCAGGGGACGTATCAAACTCTCCCATGTGCTGGGGAACCTGACAGTGTAGGATGGACAGTTCAAGGGAAGGAAGAGAGGGGAACAGTGGACGCTGCGAGATCCAACTCCAGGAAGCCCGGTCCCTCTCCTCCAGGACAGGGAGCAGGGATTCCAGTGTAGAGGCCGGGGGACAAGGGCCAAGACGGGCTGTGCGGAGAGGCTCCCACTCTTGACTCAGGGCGTGTCTGCCTCGCTCTTTCTCTTTCCATCTCTCTGTCCTCTGCTTCTGTCTCTCTGTCTCTGAGCCTCTCTTGTATCTCTGGCTCTGTGCAGTGTAGAGGGTGAGTTGGAATAACTTCTCAGCATTAACCGCTGCTTCTGTGCAGGAGAACGTTATCTTAATTGAGTCTCAGCTCGTTCACAGCCACTCCACCGTCATAAGTAATGGATGTGCAAATGGACTGTAAACCAGAAGGACTCAACAATGCCACGATGCGATTGCCACCAGCCTCTGCCTTCTGCAAGGAACCCAGCATCCCTCTTAATAATGCATGGTCCAAGCCTGCCACAGCCAGATGCCCAGAGTTTCCCCATGAGGCGCCATGTTATGCTGTGGACCAAAGTGAAGCCGTGCAGAATTGGAACATTGCCCCCCACCAGATCCTTCCAGGGTGCGGTCAGTGAGTGCCCCACAGAGCAATATAAATGGCTCAGGTCTTCAGACCACCTTGTTTATGACAACCTCATTGAAACACTGAAACTGACCCCTACTCTCTCTCCTCCTTGCACCAGCAGATGGTCTTTTGGTTTGTGGCTTTAAACCTGGGGTATAAATCCTGTGACTGTCCGCTCACTAGGCCCCTGATGACCGCACCACTCTGTGTGTAGAGCAAGCTGCTGTTTAGGGGATCTGAAGCTACTTAACACACTTGTACTGTTTGCAGAGCCTCCCTCTGTTTGCAGAGCCTGCCAACAATTGCAGGATGAAGGTTATTTGCAGACCAATGCTGTTGGCTTACTTCTGGCCCCAGGATTCACAGTCAGTGCCTCTGCTCCCACGTAGAGGATTCCCAAATCCCAGCTCCCACCGCGCTCCCCTCTCTCTGGCTGCTCTGCCTGCCCCCAGGGTCTTCAACTGTGACCCATGGACCACCCATGTCAAAGTATCCCTCACCCACCGTCCCCCTGTGTTACAGCTGTGCTCAGAAATGTTCCCTGATAATGGCTCTGAAAAATGAACTTCAGACCTTGACGTTTCTGGGGTGGAGGTGTGAGGGGAGGGACCCGCAGTGCTGCTGAACGGTGACTGGTGGGCGGTGTTCTCAAGGCCCGGGGGCTTGCTTTTCAAGCTCTGGACAAACACAAGGTATTAATAAACCTCAGTGTCTGCTTTCTTCTAACACATTCTTGTTGGTTTTGTTTTGGATGGCTGTGGGGTGGATGATGGGAAGCAAGCTGTGGTTGTTTAGTGGTTTTTAACTTTAATAGCTTTGGTAATGTAGCTAAAGCCTGTTCAACTTCTGCTGTTACTGGTACCCAAATGCTTCAGGCAAATCATTCCCTGGTCTTCTGGTTCTCTCCCCAATGGGCCAAACTGGAAGCACACAGGTCCCTGAGATATTTGAGGTCCTCTGAGGGCCAGGGGATGGCCCCTCTGTGACCAGAGTCAAAAGGGATCGCTTTGTTCAGTGATGGCTGATCTGAGCCTCCTGACGGGATAGGCTTCCCTTGGTTCCCCTCAAGGCCCACGGGCTCATGGGTCATAGACAGGTTTTGAAATTGCCGCCACACTGATTAATGATGTTTCTAATAACAGCACTCGTGCCACCTGTGCAGGAAACCGCATTGTCACAAACGTTACAGCACGAAATGCTCACGAAACAGTCGAGGACAGTGAACTTCAGAGGCGTGTAATGACTTCTCCAAAGGGCAAGCCTCAAGCCTGCCAACTCCACACTCAGTGTTCTGTCTGTGCTGGGGGCTCCTATTCCGGTTCTGCCCTCCTGGAGCCTTTGCTCTAGCTGGAGAGGAGACAGGCAAGCGGGTCAAAATAAAATAAACGAAAAGGGCACTGCTTGGTTGTGAGAAGTGACAAGAGGGAAATAGAGGATGAGGGGACACTGAGAGATGGGTGGGAGGTGGGGAAGGTCCCCACCCCCAGTGTAGGTGACGTGAAAGAGAATCTCCCTCCTCCATCAGACTGCAAGCTCCCTGAGGGAAGATGCTGTGTCTCCCCCATCAGACTTGGAGATCCGAA